AAATAAATAAATAAAATACTCAGAAGAGTATATGACACAGTACTGTTTAGTGAATCTTAACTATTTTGTTTTCAGGCATATTTTTTCTTACACTAAAAGGCCCCATACTTTAGATTCTATCTAGTTCAAGCTTCAGCTAAAGTATTTTCAGAATCACCTAAGTATCAATTTGTTGTTAGCTGGAGAAATTTAGATTTATAGGAGTCAGTTATCAAATAAAGTCAAACAGCATTCTAGCTGGACATGTGCTGTCTAGTTTTTGTTAAAATTTTTATGTTTGAAACAGTTTAATACACATCTAAATTAAAGTAAGGGTAGGGGCTGTCTTAATCTTGATAATTAAGATGCATTTGGTACAGACCGATAGGTGTTTGGTATTAGCAGCTGTTATTAATGGCAGTTTAATAATTATTGTCTAGATTTCATAGTTGAAGAGACAGAGCTTTAGTTAAGTAACTTACTTGATGTCACACAGCCAGTAAATGGCCATCATGGCTCTTCTTACCTCCATTCACCCAGTTAGTGAACAAACCAGAGGGCAGATTGTATTACATTAAGATACTTTAGCCATTGAATTTTGTCCTCTGCCTTGAATGAACTGAATGAGGTAAACGTCTTATAGGGATAAGACTATCGATATATTTTATACTAAGGTTATTACATTATGAGGTAATTCTAACTGTAAGATAGTGGGATTTACTTAAAATTGTGTATGGAGGTTAATTAGCCTGTGATTTCATCTTGCTTATATAATCTGCTCATATATCTTCCCTGTCCCCTCCAGCTGTAATAGAACAGATGAAATATGAAATTCCATAACAATATTTGTATTTTGTATAGTATATTTGAAACTAGAAGAGCATTGGGGCGCCTGGGTGGCTCAGTTGGTTAAGCGACTGCCTTCGGCTCAGGTCATGATCCTGGAGTCCCGCATCGGGCTCCCTGTTCTGCGGGAAGCCTGCTTTTCCCTCTCCCACTCCCCCTGCTTGTGTTCCCTCTCCCGCTGTGTCTCTCTGTCAAATAAATAAATAAATAAGACAGTTTAAGGACTGTACATGTTCTTATCCATAATTGAAAAGACATGTAAATATAATTAAAGTTTTCTTTCTCCTTAGACTTCAGTTTTGAGAGTTAAACCTGTTTTGATTAGCATTGTAAGCTTTGACCATATTGTTTAATAGTGATAGCGGATGCTAACCAAGTGCTTTTATGTGCTAAGCTAGGCTCTGTTCTAAACACTGTTTTTGTATTAGATACTGTTTCAGTGCTTTAGACGTATTAACTTATTTCATCCTCAGAAAAGCCCCGTGAAGTTTCAAACCGAAGAGTAGTATATGAAATTCAAAAGTCTTGTTGATAGTGACTCTTTATCAGTGCCGTAGCATTTATTTAACTGGTAATAGAAAGCTAAACAGAAACCCAAACTTAATGAATCTCTGAGAATGACCCGTTAATATATACTGTTGTCGACAGCCAGCCAGCTCTTGGGAGGAAACTTTGGGAAGAAGGTGACATTTGCCTTCAGTGTCCCATTTTCCTAGACTGGCTTACCAGTTTATTTTCCTTTCCCCTGTAAAGCATGTTCCCCTTGCTTTTGCCTTTCATTTCATAAATGTAAAAAGATGAGGGAGTTTGTTCCTCACTGTGGTCATCTACATCCGTTTATGTGAAATGTGTATTTAATATTTTGATAGAAAGTTAGATCTTTGGGTGGGGTGTATGGGGATGTGTAGAAAAAAGATGTTTTGCAAAGAAAAATCATACAGTCTCTTGGGAAGTATGTTTATCTATCACTTGGATGTTTTTCCTTGTTAGTTTTGATTATGAAGATGCAGGCTACCAGACTGCAGAACTTGTAAAAATGGATATTCTACTGAATGGAAATCTTGTAGAGGAGCTGGTAACTATTGTACACAAGTAAGTTGAATAGAAATAATCATATAATGTGAAAGTAACCACTTTTGACATGTTTTTATTTAATTATTGATTGCTTATTTTTATTTGACAGCTACATTTTGAAAACTTAAAAGTAATTAAATTTCCTTGTACTAGGTTTTCCTTCCGTTCTTTTTCCATGCTTCTCTTTTCAAACTGTTAAATATGAAAGAATAGAATTAAAATAGCCAAAAAGAATAGTGTCATGGAAAGAAATGTTTCCCTCACCAGGGTAAGACGAAGTAGAAGAAATGGTTGTAAACTTTATGATAGATTTAAAATTGAGAACAAAAAGGTTTTTATATTCATAAAACAATTTATAATAATGAAAAATAAAATATCCTACATGTTCAGCAAATAGATTGATAAAAATAATGTAGCACCTATTTAATAATCCTGTTAAGCTATTAAAACTTCACTGTGAAGTAATCTTAAGTGACATAAAAATGCCTATTAAATAAAAAGGTTGACATATATACACTATGATTCAAACTAAAATACCAAACATGCAGAAAAATAACGGGAGGATGTATGTTTAACATAGACATTCTAAAATGTTTAACATTGGATTTCTATGGTTGAAGGGAAGGGCATCAAGAATGGTTTTTATGTATGTTTTTCTGCATTTCCTGTAATGGTCATAATGTTATTTTTGCAATCAGAAAAGTCATATGATTCATAGTAAAGGATGTTTATGACAAATGATTTCCATTTGAACCTCCTTGAGAAATCACCTTTACATTGATTATGTATATGTACTAGAAAGGTACTTTAAATATTCATATTTAGGATATGTAAATAGTTGCATTTTCTCTCTCAGAGACAAAGCACACTCTGTTGGCAAAGCCATATGTGAACGTCTTAAGGATTCTCTTCCTAGGCAGCTGTTTGAGATAGCAATTCAAGCTGCTGTTGGAAGTAGAATCATTGCAAGAGAAACGTGAGTTGAAATTCATTTTTGTTCTCTGTTTTAGAAATGATAAATGGTTAGAAATGATAGGACTAGAACTGTATTATGAAATAATATTGAAAAATTTAACTTCACATTGGCCTAAGCTTTATTCCTACTTGTAGAAACACTAATCTGATTTTTAATTCCACTTAATTGATAACTGTTACAGTGATTTACTTAACACTGAGTGATATTATTTATAATAAAATAATGGGCATGGGTTTGAGGAATTGCTTTATTTCCATTGATTTTACTGAATGATTACTGAATTTCCTGGGTAAGGTATAATTTATAAGCTAATAGCAATTGAAACTTAAGTTTTGAGGAAAAAAAAAAGTTTTGGAGATACTCTTCCAAAAGACAAAACTAAATTACGATTATTACTTGAAGCATTTAATATCACTTCTCAGATCTAGCCAAATTAGAAATCAGAGATGACAGACAGGAATGCTGTTATGTTGAGCTTTGCATTGTAGATTCATTATGTAATCTATAGTAGACATGGAAGATAGGCTAATTTATGTAGGAAACTGGTCTTTTTTATGAGAGATATGATCAGAACATGGAATAAGCTGCTCTACTAGGTAACAGTAAATGCAGGAAGTAGCATGTAGCATATTTCCTTGACTCCTGGAAAATCAGAAGTATCCCCTACCTGGAAATTGCTATTCAGTTGTAGTTTAAACCCAAACCTACATGTATTAGTAGTGGTGAAATTACAACCAACATTTTTACATAGTCTTGGGACAAATTTTATGCCTATATATGCAGTGAATTTCATTTCCTAACACAATTTTGCTTTAGTTAATTGTTTTTTTGTTTTTTTTTTATAAAGATTTTATTTATTTATTTGACAGAGAGAGACACAGCGAGA